ATTTAAATTTTCAAGATACTTTTATTTAACCAACTACAGCCCCCTTTTTAACAAGAAATCTTACATATAAGCAATTTAAAAGGATTACATGTGTGAAGTATATGCATTTTACAGATATCACAGCTTAATATACCAATTTGATGAAAATCGTTTCAGTACACATGTACCCAAATTTTGAAAAAATTTCCTTTATCTCATGATTATTTGCCGTGGGTGGATTTTTTATATGTTATAACCCTTAAGTTAAGGTTTATCGAAAGTCTTTTGATTTTGATTTATTTTCATCATTTATGGAGATACGCTTGTTTTGTGCCATTTTAGGTCTATGAGCAAAGTGCCTTTATATAGATATTTTGAAATTATTTTGACAGAATGCTGTTCAAGATAAGAAAAAAATAATTTTATGGTATGAATCATTAAATATAGTTCTTCTGGAAATATTAACAGAAAAATGCATCATTCTTACTAATAAAAAAATATTGCAGAACAAAAATGATGAAAATTGTGATTTTTTGGCTATTTGCATATGTAAAATGACATGTAAAGTTTCACCTCCTCATAATTTTTTTTTCTAATAAAATTTTAGAAAAATATTTTGTGTTTTCATTTTACCTATCCATATGTACTGTCTGGTAAAGATTTCATTTCTTTTTGAAAAAAGTACTTTCGGACCATTTTGCATGGTTTTCTGTGAAACTTGCACTTAAAACAAACGTACTTCCAAATCAGTTCGTTATCCTACATCATTAATTATTTTGCTGATCGCTGACAGCAAAATAGTGTTTATATCCCAGTATCATAACTATTGTTTTGTATACATACATGTACACCATACACCATGAAAACATCGAATGTGAGCAGACACTCCACCTTTATGGTCTGGTTGCGATTAAAAAAAAACAAATTTCGTTAGAAAACTAATCTGAATTGTTAATGCACACTGCACCAACGTTACATAATATGTCCGTGATATTTGAATTTGTTTTAAGCGGTCTTATTGGTGTATAACCTAAATCTGCAGTTTTTGCAATATTCATATGTTATTGTTTATACCGATTTTTTTGCATTTCGATATTTCATAAAGGTGTATGACTGTTTTATCAAGAAAAAATGAAATAATTTGTTTTAACTGTAGCAAAGAAGTTAACAAAATGAAAAAAAATAAATGTTCCTCTGTCAATAAATACTTTAAAAACAGATAGAACGTACATTAAAACAAAGATAAAAAATGTGCAAAAAAAACACAAATTTAATTGACATATAGCACATTAATTCAAAACTAAATACAAACACGAACAATAATAAACTATTTAATTAAATTCCTCTTTATTTCAAACATAATTATTCAAATACAAGTAAATATATTTTATGGCTAGTAACTTTTTTATTAGGATTTTATAATTCTAATAAGGACGAAAAAACTGGCATTTACACCAAAAAATTGTAATAATCATAAAAAAAAAAATTCTTGCTACTATAATTCTTTTGGTTTCTCTGTTATGAAAAAAACAACAAAACATTTACGTATTTCTTATTGATAATTTTTGGTGATGATAACAGTGCCTCATAAAAAATCGAGAGTTGCAATTTTTGTTAAAAAATGATGATTTTCAACAATATCTCTGTTTTATTATTTTATTTCCAGGGATAAATGATATATCAGACGAGACTGGTTTCACACATATTTACTGATATACAATAGTCGTTAGGAAAGATGTTGCTGGTTTAGGTAAAATATTGACTAAGTTGACAGGTTCCACATAGTGAAATTTCAGAAAGAAAAAAAATGTCCTTATTTTTCTTCAGTATTTTGTATGTTAAAGTATTGACATATTTGCATGTGAACAAATTTAAAGAACGAGAACATAAAGTGAATAGCTCGCAACAAAATTAATTAAAGTTAACACTATGAACAGATAACTTCATTTCAATATTTTCATTTAATCCATGTAATTAAATGTATAAGCAAGTGTGTTGTATTGATGCTATATGTAATTTTTTTTTTTAAATTTAAAAAAAAAATCTGAAAATTACATTATTGCCACTAAACAAAAATTGCTTCCATAAACAAAAACAAAAATGACATGAGTAAATCGACATTATATATATATATATATATAAATATTTGTTTGTTTATGTATCGTTGGTCTTTATTGTCTTATGTTTTTGGCGTTCATAGTAAAGGTAAACTCTGAAAAGCAATTTGGAAACATTTTTAAGCGTTATTTTGTTGACGCACGTACTGACAATGACACCTAGTATCAACCGGCAGATCCATTGAAACTACGCAGATATTATTATATTTAGATATGTTAAATTGGTTCATTTTAACGCATAATATGTTTTGAATGCTTAGTCGGATTTTTGTTGGAATTGGTTTAGAGTAAAGATCACATCACTACTAGCAACATTCGTATAGCATGTGTAGTGTGAACATTCACGTGCATGACGTATACAATAAGCTAAGGTCTATGCATTAAGTTAATGCCTGAAATTTTCAAACCTGTTGCCAATCATCATTTCGGTCAATAGGTGAACTTTGGGAATGTTGGTTTTTCTACCATATGTATGTACATTCGGTGAAATATTCTTGATATAAAGTATTGTTTCTGTCATATTCCAAATGTTAATATACATTAATTGTACAGATCTTCAAATTTTAGTAATTTTCATATTCGTAACAAAACTAATTTGTATCTGTTTATGGTATTAAAACAATTGCTATTGCAAGGGGGAGATTGGTGATTCTATCAAAATATTTTTTGAAGAAAATTCGCACTTCACTGGTCGAGCTGGTTTTGGTCAGATGAAAAGATGACAAATGTAGATACGATTTGTACTAAAATCATCTTTCCATTGGTTTTATTGAATATGAAAAACATATACTGTAAAACATTTTGTAAATTTTCCTAGGCAATCTTAAGCATTTAAGTGACATATCTACTGAAGACAAATATCTTTTTTTTGCCGTCTTAATTGAAATGTGAAAGCAAGGAGCATGCACTTTACATTTTAGAATCCCCAGAACAGACGGCAGCTATAGACTTCTACCATTAAAAAGGTATATATGCCTTTTTAGAATTAAGGGCTTGGAAAGGTAAAAAGTGAAATATAGGAGAATGGAGCTGTATGGTACTTTAAAACAAGCACATAAAAAGGTCAGGGTGATAAAGACTTTACGATTTAACGAACATTATAATGCTTATGCAAATATTTCTCGTAATTCCATGGCTATGCATATATTTCTCGTGATTCCATCGAATATTTCTTTCACAAATGTGAAAATTGTATCATAAGAAAAAGTATCCAGGGATGGCCCATTTTATCCAAAGAGTTCATCAGTAGGGGACAGGTTTATATAATGGATTTTCAATCAAACCCAGATTGAAACTATAAATTCGATAAAATCACATAACAAATGTTTGTATGATTAAAGCTTTCGTGTCAAAATGTTTCAGAGGCTACTTTCGTTTTAATTAATGATACCACAATTGTTGGTGTATCCTATTAACTGCAAAGCGACAATGGTCGTGCATTTAAAGCTTTAGCTATATCCCAGTTAAAACTAAAGTGGTGAGAACTAGTGACTTTAGTTCGGTACGTATTACATTTTGTACTAAAACATCAGTACGATTATGTGCTATTCCTGATTATTACATTCTACTGAATGAAAAGTTGCATGGCAGGTGACGCACGCATAGCAAGAGACATTTCCGGTATCACTCATTGTCTAATTCTTGCTATTCCCCCAAGCGTTGTGTATAACCTGCATACGTCTATTCCTAATCGACTTAAGAGAATACTACTATTGCCTTTATTTTTCCGCCTGTACCAACCTTAATTACAATTTAAAGTCTTCAAATGTGTGGTGTTATGAATATACACGTTTCCAACTAAAGATTACAGTTTGTAAGTGTGCAGTTAAACAACTGTCCAAAAGTCGAATGAGGGTTGAGCAATAAAGAACATCTTTAACCTCGCACTATTGTGTGTCTGTCTTCTATCACAAGCCTGCGGTTAATCATGTTCGTCATTGGTAAGTGAGTTAAAAGGTAAAATCACAAAAATACTGAACTCAAAAAGTAAAGTCCCTAATCAAATGGTAAAATCAAAAGCTCAAACACATCAAACGAATAGATAACAACTGTCATATTCCTGACTTGGAACAGGCATTTTCTTATGTAGAAAATGGTGGATTAAACCTGGTTTTATAGCTAGCTAAACCTCTCACTTGTAAGTGTTTTCAAATTGTTTTTAGTCGTAGCTTTTCTCTCTTGAACTGTTTAACATTTTGGCATGACATGCTTTTGTATACATGTAGCTTCATATACGGTAAGCAATTTGCCCATATATAAAGACAAATGTGTTACCTATAGTTGTCAACAACCGCGTACTTGTGATTGCTTCAAATATTTTGTCTCATTGACCACAACACCACATCTTTTTTTATGTTTGATATATATCATCTTCCAAATGTTCAATATGTGCGGAATAGTGTTCTTCCTCCTTCTCTATCGATTTTTGTATTGTATCGAATCGTTTAAATCAATACGAAAAGTGTATTATTGTATAAACTTGGGAATTTAGAATTCTAATGACAGTTGTGTGCATATGTGAATAGAACATTCATCACCAGCCCTACTTATCAATATTCAAATGCATCTTTTTGATTGGTATAAAAGTCTGTTTTATTTTCTTTAAAATCATGTCAGCAAATTGGTAGTTTAAAGTAGTCTTGCCGATTAGTATTTCACTCTTTCTTCATGTGACAGTGCAATACATTGGGATAAAAGTATTTAACTGATGTTCAAAACTTGTAAATCGATAACGAATATACAAATACAAATACACAAACAAAAGCTGAGGGAACCAAAAAAGGAACTTTAAAATGAAGCGTCCAAAAGAGTGCACATGTGTACAAAAAAAGAATAAACCAAATGCATTAAAACAGTATATTTGTATCAGATTTCTGCAATTTATTTGCACACGTTCTCCAGTCATGACATTAAAAGCGAAAGTATTTGAGTTGGTCACTTAACGCTTGCTAAAAGATGTATTTCTAACGCAATTATTTCTTTTGGCATCTCTTATAAGAGCATTTATAACCATTACAGCAGTCGTTGTTTCCTTTACATGTCCTCCTTCGACATTGTCTGCAGGATCCGTAAATACAGCCCCAATTATTACAGCATTCACGGCTGTTTCTGCATGATCTTTTACAACCTTTAGGCCTGCATCTCCCTTTAACACAGTTGAAATTATTACAACATTTACGATACCGGCAGTTATTTCCATTACTCCCACATGCTGGTTGACTTCTTTTAACAAGGCTATAGAAGACAAGTATGAGAATATATATTAGATAAAAAATAGATTACCTTTTTCTACATAAGAAATTGCATGTACCAAGTCCGGAATATGACAGTTGTTATACATTCGTTTGATGTGTTTGAGCTTTTGATTTTGCCATTTGATGAGGACATTTCAGTTTTGAATCTTCCTATGAGTTCGGTATTCTGAGAGTGAGTTACGTCTGTACTTTATGTGATAAGTATAACTTTTGGTAAGGACAAAACTATTTTACATTTGTAAAAGCACCTAAAATGTTTATTAATGTAAATGATGATTATTATAATAGTGATTTTAGATGTTTCTATGCCTATTTTCATATCTAAGGATGTGTTTCTGCACGATGTGCAATCAACGTGTAAATAGAAAACAAAAAACAGAAGATGTTGTATGATTGTCAATGAGACAACTCTCCACAAGATACTTACAAATGTAATGACATAGAAGTTAATAACTATATGTCACCAGATAGTCTTCAGCAATGAGCAATAGGCTGACATTTTAACCAAACAAGTGATTTTTATATTATTAAGGCTGTTCCAAAAGATAAAATATTTTTTTCCTGTCAGAATCATTTTTTTACTTGACATTTTGTGGATAGATAATTCTAATAGTTACATTTTAAAAATGAAATGTTAATGAAATTTCACTTTTACTAGTATTACATAATCTCACAAGTTCGATGACATTAGTTTTTATTTATATTTCCTATTATTTAACAAATCTTCTAATATTGTATTTTGAAACTCTGTTAATACTAGACTCTTTCGAATTCAAACTTTTTTAAAATTGGTAACAATCAAATAATACATTTCGTAGATTTTAATGCATACTTACTTGTGGGTCAGTTTATTATCCTCCATCATTTCGTCATTTGCCATGTTCACTGAAAGTAAAGTAAGTTTCCTATTTCAGTATCGAGACTAATATTTATGTTTACAATATACAGCTAGGAAAGGGTAAAAGCGAACAGACACTCCGCTTTTATCATATGATCGCTATTCAAATAGTGTCTTTTTTATTATTCTAAATCAATAATGAACACTGCACTAAGGTTACTTATAAGGTAACCCAGTATGTTGTTGAGTTAGCTGTTCCATTGCCTTGAAAGCATTATCTTCAGTTATTTTATTCAATATCCATTTCTTTTATTTTTGAAATAACATACATTCCTTGTTAGAAATTTCAGAAAGTAAATTGATTTTCTTTCATTTGCATTATACACACTATAAAGGTTGTTAATAAGTCTTTTCAATCATTGGGTTTTGTTGTTTTATTGTCTCCTTGACGTCTTTCGGTATCGTTGTCGTCATGTAGACGTAATTAGTTTGCAATATTTCAAAAATAGATAGGGCTGTTGTATCAAAATGTCAAAAATGTGAGAATAGAGGTCAATAGAAAAAAAAAGATAAAACATCTAACAACCGATAAATTTTATACAGCTACATGTATAATACTATCGCCAGCTAAAAGATGAATTTCAAAAATAGTCTTAGTGTAGAGTACTTCTCCAGTTCACATATAGAATGGTATGACAAGAAGAGTAATAGCCTTGTACATTTTTTCAGTCCCTCAACACGACAAAATATACATTGCAACATGTGTCATCGAATTTAATAGAAATATGGGAAATACATCAATAAAGCAGTAACCCTATGACAAAATGACACAACTATTTGATACATGTAAAATAGGACACATAAAACAAATTGCAGTAATCAAACACACCCATTGAACACTGTGTTCTATATATGTCATCAAATAAGGTCCTTGTTATATTTTACCTCCAATGAACACTAAACACAAACAGACGACTAAACAAGCCGTAACCTTCATCCTTCTTTATTCTAAACAAGACACTACAAAAAAAAGATACATGTAATTATTGTTTCATTATCATAGTTTGATTAAAGAATCATTGGTTTCATTTTTAAACGAAGATCAAGATTCAACACTAGCTGTCTGTTTTAATAGTTTAATTGCTTTGTTAACCTATATTTTTACATACATTTTTACTGACAGACAATGATCGCCGTAATATGAAAAGTAGAGTTAGTTAGATATTACCAATGATTTAAAGTATAAGAGGCATTAAGGCCCAATTGTCGGCTCAGAAAATAAGTTTTTGATGAACCATTTGGAATTTCAACAGAATGCGTGGAAATGCCTAAAGTAAAACAAATATCAATGCATTTCATTCTATTTTGGATCTGATTACCTCAAAGTTACGTCATATTCTACACTATTTTGATGAAAATGAAGAAAACTAGATATATGCCATTATTCATCAATAATTTTAGTGTGTAAGGATTATATGTAGCCAAGAAACAACAAATTATTTTAAGAGCAGTTTTATACAAAATACTATCATATTCCTAAAAATATAAAGTTGTTTCGTGGGTGCTCAAATACTTCGCCAACCTAGCATTGTGGTACACGGTAAAGTATTAACAGGAAGTGTGTATCTTTCTATGTTTAGTTACTGTTATTGTTTCTTGTAAATTACCTGACTGATTGGTTAATATTTTTAATAATATTATGCCTATACATGTACCTTTAATTGATTATTTTTTTAATCAAATCGTAATCTATGTTTTATTGTTCTTATCTACCTATTTACGATTTGTTCTCAAAGTTAAAATTAATAATTTTACATATACTTCATAATGTTTTGCTCACTTTTTCAATTGTGGGGAGCATTTATACCGGAACACTCGAATTCCTACATAGTGTGTAAGAAGCGAAATATTTACCAATTATTCTAAAATACTTTAATTATATAAATAAGAGAATAATGTCTTATTACGTCCGTCATCAAACAGACAAGACTGCAAATGTATTTTCATCTATTTCATATCATTTTATAACACTCATATGCATTCAACATATACACAATGACCTCACATTCGGTCCCTGTATGCAGAATGAAGCAAACTAAGAAAGAATAAATAAAACTCAGAAAATTTAAAATTTCACCTCTGACTTTATCCGCTAGAATATCAAAAGTGATGACCAAATAATAAAGAACAAAAGAAATATAGCGCTAAAACTTTATTTCCGATATGCAAAATGTAAGTGTGTAATCCAGTGAACCATGAAAAGAAATCATTTAAATTAAAATACAGTGAAACAGAAATTATACAAACATGAAACTTTTCCCTATATTGATATATTAATTTATATTTTCTGTAAATATACGGGAGGATATGCACTGGTGACGTATACGAATTTACATTATACTAGGAAATAATGCTTTGGTACAAAAGTGCAATGATACATGTTTTTTTATCTCTGAAAATCTATACAATCTTCATAAATTCTCAACTTATTAAAACTAAAATGTACTTACATGAGCAATTGCAACCGTTGCTGTAAAAAATCTTTTAATTATATATCTGCTAGTGTCCAGCTTTTATACACGATTTGATGCAAATGACATTGACATCTGTGAAAACATTATTTATTGCAGCATACCTCTATGTGGTAGTACGCCCTTCGATGGTTAATGGTACTATGCACAACTGTCAGACTATGGTGCAATTGATTTATCTTTAAAAAAAGTCATACGTCCATCTTTATGTCATCGCTTGTTTATCACATGCATTTTCACCTATACATTATTTGTCAAAATCTTATTTATAACTGCAAAAATAATTAAAAGGTCGTGGATACAACATCCTCTCTCCGTTTATCATTTTGTTATGAATAGTTATGGCGGGAAATAAATTGTGACAGTTTTCCGCATAATATATAAATAATTCTCAGACTTGTTTTTACTGGTTTAGGTCCATACAGAATTAGAAAAAACACATGATATGATAAATATAGTGCAATGCTTAAACCGTTAAATTAAATCAAGTTGAGGTAAACCCCCTTACCTAGAAAATAAGATGTAATTAAATACTATGTTTTTTACGTCAGATTTTAACTACACAAACGTTCACCTTTTATTCTTTCTACATTATCTTGCTTATATGGATATATGGGTTTGATATTGGGGTATTCTGTTAACATAACTATAACATAGTATGAGTATTTTTTTACTTAAAATTTTATTATATTGATTGATATGTAGATAAAATATTTCCTACTCAATATAAAAATTATACAAACATATAATACGCTTTACAAAAAACAAGATAAATTGAAAATAAAAAATTAACAAGAACTACAAGTTGGTACATGTATTACACATATTTTTTTCAGCAAATAAAATGATACAATATTTGACTTTTGATGAGATGAAACAATGATTGTTCTACCCAAGAGATTTATAACAGCATAGAAGTATACTGCTGTTCAACAGTCATTAATCGGTTCAGCGCAAACAAATCCAGGTCACAAACCAAAACCGAGGTATTCATAAAGTTGTTACACAGGAGCCAATAGTAATCCGCTAAACGGATGTTTTGATGTTGAAGTATAATTCTATTAAATATGTTAAATATATAACATCATGCAACGGAATGATGACGATGGAGTAAACGTTGGAGCTGCTACTACTCATCGATATCAGGTCTTGTAAAAACAACTTGTATATATAGAATAATACATGGCAAAATCCGTATCGCATGTTGTATCACCACGAGAAACCAATATCAGTCCCGAGGGCTACACATTTTGCTATGTATTGATCTGTTTAAATCATATAGTTTAACAAAATCAGATTCTTGATATGTTAGGGAACAATCATTTGATTCTGAGGTTTGGGCCTGGCAGATTTTAGAATTAAATATTCAGGCCCCCATTTATATGAACATAAATAATCTTGTTTTATCAAACTGGAAAAATTAATATGCTGGTCCCCAATACATAGATACAAAAAAATGTATCACAAAAAAATCCGGAAAGAATTATTATCAGTTGTTGTTTTGAGGGATATGCAGTGAACGTTTCCCCTCCTTTTTACCTAAATAAATATAAGTTCGTTCATGAAATTTAAAAGAAAAATATTAAAAAAAATTACTCGCTTATTTTACCATTTGGAATCATGAGACTCCTCTTTTCGTGGGCCCCAGCTACTTCGATTGTACTGATATATGTAATTCGTAGCACATAAATTAGTTGAGAGAGAATGGGTATTTTGATCATTATCCAAAATGATATCTTTGACTCTAAATCACTGTCATAAATGACCCATTTCTCTTGGAAGTATTTTTCAGAAATTCAAACTAAATGAGGTTACATTTCGTATCATGCCAGGAGATACAGCAATTTGATGTCATAGATTAAGCTTTTACGTCATTCGATATATATGACGTCACGTCCGGTATGCGATACGGGTTTAGCTATGCGATACGCGGTATGCGATACAGGTTTAGCTGTGCGATACGGGATATGCAATACAGGGTAGGTGATACATACTGGAAAAAAAACCTTTATAAGATCTAAAAAATTGCTGTATTTAGCACTACATATATGATAAAAGGATTTATTATGCAGATGATAATTATTGTTCTTATTTCCATACGCATTGTAAGGCCCTTTAGAACACAGAGAATGTGTTTACGATATCAAATTGCATACAATTATCCAGCAATTCACCATTCCCTTGGCCGCGTTGCAATATACATTTTCTTCTGAACAGGTGTTAATGATAGAGTCATTTGAATTTTATTTTCATACCATTATTCGTATTGTACTATAATACATTTCTTACATACCAAATTATAAGCCTTGCAGCATTGCAGTATTTTTCACCATTTTAAGACAAAACAAATGTAAAGACATAGTGATTATTTTTATGTAGAACATAACTTTACTAACAATTCGAAAACAAATCATAGTAAGCTTTTTAAAGTAAAATATAATATGTAATAATGTAAAGTATATCATAGTGAATTAAAAGTCCTCATTCGAAATCATTATTTTGTGAAATCTGCCTTCTTATTTGTTTTTCTACATCAATTTTATTTTTGTTAAAACATGACATAAGTTTCTATTTTATATCATCATTTAAGACACATATTATTCATTAGAAATAAAAGTATATTTTATCACTAGTCTCAGCAAATATTTCGATGTTGTCCTAGATAATACATGCACCTTATCCAATCCAAAACAACAGCAATTCCAAAACGACCTCTTTGGCATCTATTTAGAATAAAAAATTGTATGGTAGATGTAGTAGATAGTGAAAATTATCTGTGCTAGAAATTTACAAAAAAGACAGTTATGAATGTTTACATAATGATATACAATATACATTTAAAAAGGAATTAAAACGCTTAAAGCAATATAACACAATGGGAATACGAAATTAAAATTTTCAAAAAAAATTAAAAACCAATTGTTCGAGAACAGTTTAAGGGGTTTCCACATCACATTTCTAAATAATTGATAAAACTGCTCACGGTTTATGAGTTACACTGACATACCAATATTATAAATAGTGACGGGTAGATAGGTGTAAAATGTCACCGGACCGCTTCCACCCAATTTAGCCAAAAAATTCTGAGAATGTAACGAACAATTCAGGAAAAAAATTTTGTCGGTATCTTTTTTATTACGAAGGAGATGCTCACATAAGATAAACAGTGAACGGGGAGATAACTCTTACAAAGAAAGTTGTTATGCTAAGCAGGGTGAAATTTGAAAACTGTATGGTAGATGTAGTAGATAGTGAAAATTATCTGTGCTAGAAATTTACAAAAACGACAGTTATGAATGTTTACATAATGATATACAATGTAAATTTAAAAAGGAGTTAAAACGCTTAAAGCAATATAACACAATGGGAATACGAAATTGAAATTTTCAAAAAAAATAAAAAACCAATTGAAGGTCTTTCCACATCACATTTCTAAATAATTGATAAAACGGCTTACGGTTTATGAGT